TATTTATTTTTGCATTATTATTATTATTATTATTATTATTATTATTATTATTATTATTATTATTATCATTATTATTATTATTATTATTATTATTATTATTTATATTAAATGACTAATTATTATTAATTATTTAAATGATTATTTGACTATGTACAAATGTGTTGATCTGATTGTGTGCCTAATTTATTTGAATATGTGTGTAAGTAATCTTTTTAATGGTCTAAATGCTAATTTAATTTCTTATGTGTTTAATTTATATTTTATACCTAAGTGCCTAATTTTATTATGTGCCATTTTATATTGCCTATATTTGCCTAATTACTTGTATATATGTTAATATGTATCTGGCCCTTAGTGCTTTAAGCTTTGAGCCCATGGATTACTTAAAAATTTCAGCCCAAATAGAGAGCATGTTGGCCCAAAGTGGATATATTATTAGGCCCAGTTAAAGATGTTATCCGCACCTGCTTTCTCTTTCCATTCACGCGCGACTAGGTCCTCCCCCTTCAAATTGTTGTTGCGATTTTTGCATGAGGTATCTCTCATGATCGATTCCCTCTCTCGTGCTTATAATCCAGATTGAAGACCTTTCTTCCCCTCACTTCTAACTCTCATCGCATACGTGCTTCAAAAAAAAAGAGAGAAAACCGCCGCTGAACCTTCTTCTCCAGCGAGAGCTCCGTTCGCCTGCCGTTAGAGTCACCGTTGGCAGGAATTGTGTATCCTCAACCGCTTTCGGGCGACCACACATAAGACCCGCTTCCACCCGTTCATTACGCGTTCGTTGAGGCATAGCTGTCGTGGTCAATCATTAATTTCGGCGAAGCTCAGCACACCGACGTCCTCCTCAACGGAAGTTCTTACGTTCATCGAGGACAACGTCATTTTTCCGTTCGCGAGCAGCCACTCTGATCCCGCTCGTTGAGGTTACCGTTCAAGTTTTCGAGGCCCGTTCATCCGTTCGTTTTCCGATATTCCAAAATACGGGTATCCTTTTCGAAACCTCCTCGTAAATTGTTATTCAAAATGATATTGTTCATTTATTTTCATTCGCGTTGAATCGGTTCGTTGGGTTTCGAATTCAGTTTATTTGTCGATTCGTATGTTCGTTATTTATTTTGTAAGTTCGTGGATTATTCGGGGATGATTGGAACTCTTAATTTCGTAAAAGTGAATATCCTAATGTTGTTGTGATAAATTTGTATAAATTCGGAATCTCGTTTTGTTATTTCGAGCCGTCGTTAGGTTGTTCGGGTCATTCGAGCCCCCTTCGTTCATTTTGCATTTATTTTTGGTAGTTCCATTTTCGAGCCAAAACCATTGTTAAAATATTTTTCGAACTCTGTTAATAATGTTATGTTCGATATAAATCACACGACTACATAACACGACATTAATTTAATTTACCTAATTGTAGAAAAAAAAATTCAACAGCACGATGCATCACACCTCATTCTAAAACGGTATGGTGCATTTAACAATAACCAAGGAGTGACATAGTTAACTCGTGAAAAAAAAAATAAAAAAAAAATAAACGAGTAAATAATCCATCGGTATAAATATAAGAATTTTATATACCTATGAATGATGGTTGAATGGTATATCTATTGTTTTTTCCAGCAGGTTCGTGTATTGTGTCCTACCCTCTCACCACACGCCTTAGATAGCCTCCTTTTCTTTTGCGACTTTTCAATTGACTTCTCCTTGACGCTCTTTATCCTTTTTTCGCTCCCTTTGTTTTTCGATTGTGCCGGAGGTTGGATGCGTATATCTTGTGGGACAGACATCCCAACAAAAGATTCAAACCTGGCTGAAACACCACCCCTTCGTTCGACCATGAGCGTTCGCTTATGCTCCCTAATGAGTTTAGAAAACTCATCCAGTTGGTCCATTCGAGTCTCAACCAATCCCATGCAAATATGTACGTCTGACCATATCTTATTCATCAATATTTTTTTGTCATTTATCTTGGCGCATTCTTCTGAGATGTTGTCAACAACATGGAACATAGACTTGCTAAATGCAAATTTCGTCCACCTTGAGCTGATGTGAGCAGGAGGTATAACCTCAATGTTCAGTTCTTTGAACACGACAAAGATATGCTTACACGACCACCCATACATTTCAAAGTGTTTGCAAGAGCATCGAGATTTTTCTAGACTGACATTGCGCATCACAGTAAATGATTTCCCATCAGCATCTCTTATCACAAATATGATTTCACTGTCATTTTCAGAAAATTGCATCACTTGACATTTGAAACACGCCTCACATATTTCAGGCTGGACGCGATAGAAGATTGTGGTGGTGTAGACAGACAAAGCATGTTTTTCAACGGGCAATGGTGTTTTTAAGTCAGCCATGTGAGTTTCAGTGTCACTTTGTAACCTCATTGACGTGTTACGTTGAGTGTCCATCGCACTATCATAATGTAAAAGAAACTCGACCAAACTGGAATGATAGTTAGTAAAATTGCTAAACCAATTGTTCTCATTTTCCGATCTAGAGGTAGTTCTCATAAGCCCACACATACCAACATCTCTAAAATATGCCAGTATCTAATACTCTCTCTTAGCAAATAAATCATTGAACCAATTATGGGTGTCCAGGCCATATTCATGCATAATAGCAACCAATTTAGTCTCAAACTCGACCGGATCAATGTTTCTATTCCAGACAATTTCATTAAGTCTTTATTTGAAATCGTGTCACTATTTAGAGCATGTCCGACTTTGTCACATAATTTATTCATGATATGCCCCATGCCAAAGCGGTGCTTGCTAATAGTGAATACCTTGGGGAAAGCAATTCCAATCGAGGGGTCTTGGTCTGTGATTATGTAGTTCGGCTCAAGAACCATTGCACTCTTGAAGTTTTCTAATACCCATACGTAAGAATTGACGTCTTCCTTTGCTATCAAGGTGGCTGCAAATGTTACACACTTTCTGTGGTTGTCTATGCCGGTAAAAGGTGCAAACACCATATTCTATCTACAAGCAACAAAATATGTTCTATCAGTGCACATACTGGTTATATAATGTGCAAAAACTTATGATGTATCATGCTGTATTAACAACATTGTGGTGCAAGAACAACATAACTATGTAATTGATATGTGTAATTAATGTACTTGTTTGTGCTATACGTGGCATCAAATTATACAACGTCCCCGAAAGACCCATAATTAAGTCTTGATATTGTATCAGCCTAAAAAAGCCTTTGTAGGCAGTCATGTTCATCGAGCTCATCACAAAATAAAAGACAGGGCTATTCTCCTGATGCTTATAAAATTTATCGATAACCAACTGAGCATCATAATCTAAAATGTACCCCATGAGCTCTCGCATGAAGTTCCTGAACTCCATGTTGGTGGCGCTGATATTAGAGTATCCTCCCACCATCTCTTTGTACAATTTGTACGACTTGATAGGGCCTATGTTGGCCGTTATACAGTTGAGGACAAATGTTTGATGTGCGGCTGTCATTGTCCGATTGATCTTTAGTCGTGCTCTACACTCATCAGGCGTCATCAGATGGTTGTGCTTTTCTTCAAAAGACCGAACAATATAGTTGTTTAATCCATTGACTCGAAGCATGATCCGGGCATTGCACCCCACTCGGTTAGATACCTGCGCCTTCGTGGGTGCATTGCTTGGATGGTGTCTGCGTGGTGCTTGTAGCCCTATCTTAAACATACTAAATATTTCCAAACCACCATCTTATCAACCACTTTAACCAGGGTGCTATGTCTAAAAAACCAGGGTGCTATGTCTAAAATCAAACCCAACCATAGAAGCATACGTAGTGTAGAAAACGACTACCTTGTCAAGCCCTTGAAAATTTTGTCCCTTGAAGGGCCTAATTGCATCATCACATTGTGGTATCCAATATTTTGTGTCGTCTGGTGTGATGATTAGCTGGTGCGTACGAGGTGATGATATTTGGACTGGCCACCTGGTCGGTATAAAGAAAGATGGGCAGTAGAGATCCAATTTTCGCTTTACCAGCTAGAACAAAAGATATCTAGTTTTTTACCTACTTCTCATGTGTAGCATGTCCTTTACACATGGCACTAATCTGTTGTAATATTTGGATAAGACCAAATAATAATAATAATAATAATAATAATAATAATAATAATAATAATAATAATAATAATAATAATAATAATAATAATAATAATAAAAAATGTAAGATACACAATTACGGACATTATCATGTACATTTATATGTAGTTCCATGCACACTTACGTACGTTAACATGCACGATATGACATCTGGGCCATGTTCATCAATTTTGTACAAAACAGGGTATATGAATGTACAAGGCAATTTCAAATCAACACGCATTCCTTATGAATTCCAAAACATATTCGTTAATTAACACATAATCAATCAACAATATCGGGTTCTTACTACTTTCTTGCGTTTTGTTCAGATCCACAGGCGCTTCCATAAATAATATTGTCTTGTAAGAAAAACCTAAATCGATCAGAGGATCAGTAGTTTCTCTATGTATTCGCTACATACTCAGATTACTCGTATGTTCGATTGCAATCGAAAACAAACAAGAAAAAAAAAATGAAAGAACGCAACAATAAAGATTGAAAAGTCGTGCAAGAAAGCCCCCAACTTCAGGTCAAGAGCTTTGGGATAATGGGTTTTCATGAATATGTTGGATTTGAAAGCATAATTATATAGAAGGCTTTGTTGGCGATATGTAGGAAAAAACAGAATTCAATTTCGAGTTCAGACGAGCCCAAACGAGCCCGAATTTCGCTAGTTTTCTTTGTTTTTTTATTCTTTTTCCCCCTTTTTGGCCGAAAGCCCCACAAGGAATAGTTACAGCCTGAAAATTGGTCAAGAAAGTATGATCTAGTAGTAGGATTCATTGGCGACATGTAGGGAGAATCGAAACTCAATTTCAAGTTCGGACGAGTCCGAACGGGCCCGATATGCGAAGTCGTGCACAGAAGCTGCCAACTTCACGTCAAGAGTTTTGGGAGAATAGGTTTTCAAGAATAAATTAGATTCTAAAGCATAAATACGTAGAAGGCTTCGTTGGCGACATGTAGGAAAAAACGGAACTCAATTCTGAGTTCGGACGAGCCCTAACGAGTCCGAATTTCACAATCCGATCTAAAAAGATAAAAAAAGATTGAAAAACGGATTCAAATCCGTTATAAAAAAAAAAAGAAAGGATTATGAAAATTCGTTTTTCAAATAAAAACGGATTTTTAGAATCCGCCTGTTTGATTCTTTTTCACATCATTTTTTTTTTCTTTTATTTTTTGCCACAAATTTTTTTCTTTTTTTAATTAATAAAATGATTCAACTCATTTCATTGAGAGGGTAAAAGTTTTTACTTCATTTTATTTCATATTTTTTTCTTTGGGTCATAGATTCTGCTATCAATTTTTGTAGCGGCTTACCATAAGTTACTAATTTGATTAAATTAAATATATTTTTAATTCCTCTGTTAATAAACTATTAGTGCGTGACCCGTGCAATGCACAGGCTGTACTTATTTCAGAAATATTATATTTTAAGATGTATAAACAAATGAAAGAGTTATTATAGGTAGCCTAATAGTAAAATAATATAATGTTCGACAAAAAAAAAAAATCATATATTATTAAAGAACTCTGTGTACGTAACATTATGAGTTTGATTACATGACAACTCGTCATTATCACAAACTAATATCTTCTACCCCTTCTATTACTTCGTAGAGCTTTAAGGTGAAGTACAAAAATAGTTTTCTCAATAGATTCAATGCGAGGATATATATAATTTATATTTGTGCTGGAAAAAAGGTTGTAACTAATCAAATTCTTCTTAAGAATTTTGATTTGGAAAATACTATTTATATTTTGAAATATGGTCTGCCTAGAAATACACAATTTAAACACTTGAAAAAAAAAAATAAAGATTATCTCTATTTCAAGATAATAAGCTCTGTTCGAAAAATAGATATCTTTAAGAATTCAAATTTTAATTTCCAGGATCCAAACCAATTTTGAATTCTATGCAATGTTTCATCCTGCCCAATTTTATGGTAAATAAATCATACGAGAATTTTTTAATTTATAAATGTTGAATTCAAAATTGAATATGGATTTATGGGAAACAAATCATACACGAATGGATTTTGACTTTTAAATATTATAGATACATATACGACTTTATGTACCAAAAGGTTAAACGAAAATATGTTGCAACTAGTTAAAAAATCAGATTTAATAAATAATAAATTTGATTTCTTAGTTAGCTAAAGATAAGTAGTTTTATAAGTTAAATTTGAAATTCGAAATGATACATGTTGTAGGCAATCATACTTCTCGAATAAATATGATAAGAAAATTTGAGTTCTACAAAATCGTGAAACTCAGCCCAAAATTACCTAAATAAAACCCTGAAATTCCGTCAATTTATGGCACATTTAGAGCTGGCCGAATTTTTTGGCAATAAATTAAAAGCACAAAAAAAAAAAAAAAAAAAAAAAAAAAAAAAAAACAAAAAACAAAAACAAAAAACAAACCAAAACAAAACTGTCGAAAATAGAATGTAATAAATATCAGCTGACTTTTTATGTTCCCATTAATGGTAAATACGTCGTCTCTTTATATAAATATAGATAGATATAGATTCTTCCAATTGAATTTACTTGAAACATGAATTGTAACTGACAAATTTTCTCTCAGTATTTCATCTCACCAAAAATTCTATGGAGCCATCGGATGGTTTTCTTATGGAGCCATCCATGACTTATTGTATTGACACTTGTCCAAAGTACATTTATTGTAGGACACGTGTCAATACACTATTTGTGAATAACTGTGAATGACTCCATAAGTCGAGTCATCCGATGGCTACATAGCAAAACTTCTCATCTCACGAGCAACTAATCGTCTACTACATAATCATCAGATGGCATATGAATCAATGCTCAGTGGTTGATTTTGTAGACAATTAGTATATGATATGCTCCACACCTAAATTATGCTAAAAATCTATTTGTACAACAATTCGATTTGAGAGACGTAGCATTTACATAGGAAACCCACTATATGTCTTTGGAGGTGTGACGATTGGCTATTTAAGCACATCACCATTAATGAAT